AAGAACGCATATTGAGAAACGGCCCTAGGCTCAGTGTGAGCGGCCATCTTTCAGCTCTTTTTTAAAACCACATTACATTTTAAACCCCTTATAGACGTGACGTTAAACTGGGAAACTCTGCAGCTCCTCCAGAGTAATAAGGGGCTTCAACTGAGTTTAATTTGAATTAAAAGATAATGAATCCCATGAGGGAATTGAAAGTTGTTCTAACTCATAGGTTGCTGTAACTGCTGATAGATGTGAAGGATCTGCTGGATCTAGACAAAACTCTGACTGAAAAAGCTCTGTTCTTCTAGTGTCCTTTTACTGCTTATTCAAACAGCCATCATCTTATTTGACCGTCATATCAGGTTTATGACCGTAGGCAGGTTTGCACTCAAGTAGCGATCTGTCAAGCAAGATGAATTGTTGTGAGATTTGTGAATTCACAAACTCCAAAAATGACATCTTGCCAGAAGCTAATAGATGCATTAGCCTCAAATACGGATATGTTTCAAACCAAAGAAAAGAAATGAGTTGTATGACGTCAACCAGAAGAGGAAGGCTGAAGCTAAACAAACAGGGCTGCTCTGGTGTAGCTGCAGACTCTGCTATTCAGTGGAGCAAAAGGTTCATTGTGGATGGGAATCAATCTGGCTTAGGCCAGATTACCATCTTTCTTTGTTTTTGCAAATAATCTCTATCAGACCTCTCTGATGACACAAAGGTTGGCTTCATTTTCCTATGAGGTGACCCATGAATATCTGGACTGGGTCGCATTTCAGAGCCTCCAAATAAAAGTCTTTATATGTACTGCACCAGTTTTTTAATTTTCTTTATATACAGAAAAGCGTGCATCTCTTCCCATTGCTGTATGACTTTGTGTTGGTCTATCGCATGAAATCAGATAACAAGGTTTGTGTTTGGAATGTGAATAAGGGACACTGTTCATAACCTACCAATAACAGGGCTCATTTTTCACCTCCTCCTCCTCTTGTCTCAGAGTATCGAGCCTCGGGGATCAGGTGAAGGTGACGCTGTGGTTAATCCTTTAAGGTGGAGGCACACCGGGCTGGAATGACGCAGACTTCTCTATCTCTCGTGTGTGTGTCCCTCTGTGCTTCGGTGTTGCAGACTCCTAAACCCCGGATATAATTTCACACAAGTTGCGACCTGAGCTGAAGAATCCCACAGACATCACCGGTACAAAGACAGATCTGTGCCTTTATTCATTGAAAAGCAGCTTAGATATTTTCTTAAATCATTTACACAGCTAGTCGTACAGTGTTAAGTGATAGATTATAAAATTTATAAAACTCTTTTAAATGTGTTCAAAGAGAATTTAATTCAAAGTAGGAAATTTGAAAGGAAATAAATTTTATATTATCATATAAGCACCTTCCAGTAGTCTCACAGTAACACACAAAGGGTATTAATAACTTAAAGTTATAATTGATTTTTTTTTTATCTAATAAGAGTTATTGTTTGAAGTTTAAAGAGAAATCATTTCTATATTAGTTCCACATAGTTGTAGGGACTTTCTATCAGCCAGTTAACCAGCAGTACACAGCAACAGGTAGGGGAAGGGCAACATCTTCGGCTGAATCCCAAACCGCCCCCCAACCACTAACGCTTAACTATCAAGTCTCCCTTACAGCTGTGGAGGGCGCCTGGATTGTAAATGGGGGGTATATAAACATAAATGGGACAGCCTCTTCCCTTCAACAGAAAGGGCAAGCAGTCGTTCCTATGGCAACACAGTGACACTGTATAGCGTGGCTGTAGCTCTTTGACCCAGGTTAACATGAGATCAAAATTTATTTAAATAAATCGATCCAGTGAAATAAAACAATTTCAAAGGGGAGCTCCCATTTGGTGATAAGTCACTTTTTTTTTTTTTTTTTCCCCCAACTTTTGATTGTAAGTGTAATGAAGCTGCAGGAAATCAGGGGAACTTGCATTTGGATGCATATGTTTCCTCCGCCACTTAGGCCCCGTCCACACGAAGTCAAAACAAACACGAAACGCTAATATTTTCCAGGACGTTTGTCGTAAAGACGGAGACGTAAAATAAATGTGATCGTCCACACAAATGCATGAAAACGCTGCAAAATGTAGGCCAGGCCTATAAGTGGCGCTGTGGTGCCAAAGCAAAAATAGGCGACGAAATGTTGGGCATGTGCACTAATATTTATAC